GAGGCCGTGCCCCTTTTAGGACGGAGACGTAGTCCTACATCATCCCTAGGGCTTTCACAAGGTAGGTGGGTTTAAGTCCACCGAGGGGTTAGGGTGGAGATTATATATATATATATATATATATACACACACACACCTAGATCTCTACAGATGTAACGCCAAGAGAGATAATGACCGGCAGTGAACTTTACTGCCGCATCATTCGGATCCCAAGTGTGTGTATCAGGGACATCTCGGAGTGGGGTGCTCGACATCCAGGAAAATGTTCCCAACGTAAGTGGCATTTGAATTAAACGGCTAGAAGAACGAAAACACTGGGTTTTCAGCGGCTTACTCGAGAACCTCCTCCGCAGGTCCCAGCTGGAAGCCTCACAGGAGCTGATCACCCCTGGCCTCAATAACTCACCCACCCCGGCCTTTGGGACCGAGGGAGACAAGCGGCCGCGGTGCGGGCAGAGCGGGGTAGAAAGGAAGGACAGTAGCCTGTGGGAAATCTCCCAGCTCTCGCCAACGAGAGCGTGGCTGTGAACTCGCGCCTCGGGCTGAGCGGTGGCACAGGGCAGGGCGACCTCCCAGGACTGCCTTGCGGGCTGGGCGGGCGAGGAGCCCAGTGCCCACACCGCGGGAGGGACGGGAACGGAATGCGCAAGGGTCAGCGCTTAGAGAGACCCGGGAGCAAAGCTGCCCAGGTTTGACGCTGGCAAGGCCGCCAGGAGGGGAAGCGAAAGCACGGCACTAGTCCCCCCTCTGTCCCACCCTTCGGACAGAGGGTGTCTGAGCGGAAGGGAGCCGGACCTCCCAAGTGCCGCCCCTCTTCCGAATACCGACACTCCCCCCCGCGCCCCTCCCAATTCTAGGCCTCCTAGTCCTCTGCTGGCCAGTTCATTCCCACCGCTTAAAACAACCCAAGCGGCCTCGGAAGCCGGCCGACTAGAGGCTCTGGCGACTTCCCCCGCGCAGGGCGCTGGCTGCGCGGTGAACGGGCCGAGTTTCTGGGCGGCAGCCGGGAGGAAACGTGGCGGCCCGCATCTGCGAGGAGCAGAGCTCCGTCTTGGGCCGCCTGGGTTTGCATGTTGTTCCAGATCCCCGCGTTTGGGCAAGAACGTGAGGCCCGATCCCCTTCTCTTGTACGCGCACAATCTCCACTCACTTCAGTGCACATTCCTCAGGACCACCGCTCCCCCCATCCTCCGCCCCCCGGCGTCCCCGAATGCGGATAAATAAATCGGGTTCAAGCCCAGAGGTGGGGCTGGGGAGAGGGAGGCGTGCAGGTAGGGGCTGCGGAGTCCAAAGCTAACTTTCCCCGCGCCGCTTCGGAAGAAGAAAGGCTGCCCAGCCAGTGGCAGCTGTGGAGGGGGCGGGGTGCTTAAAGGCGAGCAGCAGTCACCCCCAGCCGGTCCCGCCATTGCGCTGCGCCTCTCCCGCGGGTCTTCACTCCAGCCTACCAACGTCTGCCCGCAAAGCCCGGGAAAGAGGCGCTGCGAAAGGAAATGTGAAGTGGGGCCTGCCAACGAAGGAGGAGAAAATTAATTAATGAGGGAAAGAAATGTGTTTCTGATCCAGATGATAGACTCCCTATCCCTGGGGGCGGAAATTCCTTGGAAATCAATAGCTGTGCATTCATTATCTCCCTCTTGATAAAATGCAAAGCTATGAGATCGGGTGAGGAGGGAATCTGTGTTGGTCATTAAACAGGAAGGAAAAAAAAAAAAAAAGAAAAAAACAAACCCCAACCTGCCCAGGATTCTATGCCAAGGCTCAGACCCCACGTGGGCATCACTAGCTCTGGCAGGGGCCATCTAGTTACTGCACTTGCCAAACCCGGAACACAAAGCAGTGACATTGATGGACTGAGCCCCAGTCCACCACCCTTCCCTTTCACTGCCCTGGGGAGAGTAGGGAAAGGCTTGATAAGGTCCAAGGAAGTACCGGCAGATCTACCACCGTGTCCCACTCTCTAGCCTGGGGCTGAGGCCCAGCAGGGATGTGACAGGATAATTCTCCAAGCATCATCCCCTACCCCACCCGGTATTTCTATACAATTCCCTCTCATCGCACCTGTCACACCTGTACCACAAAAACACCCCCTTCACCTGTAGCTACCCCACTCTCATAGACTGCCACCGCCCCAAGGCAGATGCCTGTATTTTATACCTCATTTTATCTCCAGTGTCTTGCCCTGGCCCAGACTGGTGCTCAAGGTAGGGTAGAAAGTAAATGAGGGAAGGATGAAATAAATGACTTTGGAAAAACTGCTGGCTGGAATCAAGATAGACAGCTCTGCATGGGGACAGCACGCCCTCTGTTCCAATCTGCATCTCCTTTTCAGGGAGAGAGGAGACCCCTTCGGCGATCTTCCTGCTTGCCCCCCACTCCCCATTGGTCCTGGCTTGCTGAACTCTCTTTGTTTTTCTCCCGGCCCTCGCCGTCTGCCTTCTCTTCCTTCCTACACACGTGTATTGTTCTATGGGGTATTTTCACTCTGTGACAAGCACCCTTCCTAAGTGCCAGGGTGGACACAGATGTGCCCTAAATGGGCTTCCAATCCATTAGTGGGGTGAGGGGGGTGGGTAATGAGATGGGAACTGTACCCAGGGCCCTATTTCTAGCCCTGGGGGAAAGTGAGACATTCTGAGCAGAGGTCTGAGCCCACCCTAAGCTGGGCAGGGACTCTGGTTGTCCTAAAAGAAGTGAACTAGGAGAGGAGTCTGGACAAGGTGATGAAGTCTTGACCTCAGGCCAGGGACCTCCCCGCTGGGTTAATTGGCGCTCTCTCAGTGTTGGAGGGTAAACCGAGATGGGCTTCTGGTACTCAGGGGCTCACCTCTCTCTCTGTCTCTGAGTCCATGTGGCCCCCAAACTGTGCTATTTGCGTTTGTTTCCCCTGCACTCTTTGGGGTCCCTAAAAGCTAGCGTTTCCCTGGGGGGAGGGGGAGACAGGATCTAGGCGCTCATCCTCTGCGGCGCCCTTCCTTCCCCCGACCCCGACCCCCCGACCCCCTAACGCAGGCGAGCTCAGGGAACCGCCGCGGTGGGTGTCAGGAAGGATTAAGTTAAGCCTGAACACCCGGTGCGACGACTACCGTAGGACTCATTCGCTCCCTCCAGCGATGTCCTGCTCGTGGTCCATTCCCCGCAGAGATAAAGTTGCACTTAGCACTCCCAAGGGACCGCGTAATGGATGGAAACGAGGCTCCTTCTCACACTAGCAAGTGAACATCCTTCTTAACTCCCCTCTCGGGCTGCGAGGGGGTGGGGGGAGGGGGAAAGGTAGAGAGAAAAGACAAGACAGAAAGAAAAAAGAAAGAAAAAAAAAAGCCGTGGTGACGCCTCTGGGCTCTTCTTGGAATTTGAGTAGGGAGCGTGTCCGCTAAATACGCACGCGTTTACCCAAAGAAAAGATCCAAGGCGAACGTAAATTTAGGTTTATAGAAATGAGATCTAATCTTTAGCGGAAATACAGACCTCCTTGCTGTGGGAGAGACCAGAAAGATTATTTATCTGATCTCTGCCTCCCCTACGCAGCCCCTTGCAGTTCTCCAGCTCTCTCGCTGCAGATGTGATAACATCTGGGCTGTTATCACCCCGGGCAAGGGCTGAGTCCCTGGGGACTCGGGCACCTGAACTATGGTTCCCCGGGAGGCCCTTGATCTGCCTGCCACATAAGGGCCACATAGCAGGTTGGCTAATTGATTTATTCTTCTTACGTTTTGATTTCACAATAATAAAAAATAAATAAAGCCTGGACCAGAGCTTGGGCCCCGTTCTTTTAAGTTGGTTTGAATTAATATTTTAATCACGCTTTCCTATAAATTGGCTTGATTCTGTTCCCTACTGAAGAAAAAAAAATGTGTGTGTATATATATACACATCTATACATCTGTATGTATATCTGTATCTGGGGGGCGGGGGCGGGCGGGTGGTGGGCAAACAAGCCAAAATGATGGAAGGGAAAATAAAGTTCTCTTCAACATCTTATTCCCTTTTCTCTGAAGCTATTTCCTTTTCCTGGAGTTTCCAACATAAAGTGTGTGTGTGTGTGTGTGCGTGTGTGTGTATGCTGAAGAGAGGTAAGGATCCCAGCTACACCCTGTTAACTATTTTTCCTTTTGATTACAAGAAGCCTCAGATCATCCGGAGCTCGTTTGAAATGTGGGTTTGTACACGGTTAAAGGAGACAAACAATAAGAGAAATGCACAACTTCATTTCAACAACCAGCCGTTCCCTAGTAGAAAGCACACGCTCCTTGTGGCTCCTAAGTGGCTGTCACTGTCGGTGCCTGACACACTTATAGTCACAACAACAACAACAACAACAAAGTATGCGGAGGAAATTAAATCATATGGAAATCAATAGCATCTGACTGCTTCAAACAAATGTCTGTCACCGCGATTATTCATTCTCCAGGAACCTATTTATAAACCATGAAAGAAACAGGTTCTTGCCGCAAAAGACAGCACCTTCTGCATTTCTGTGTTATTTATACTGCATACAGAAGAATGCGCGGGCATAATTTAACATACAAATGCCCAGCTGTATACATTATATAACAGCTTGTTAGACGTCCCGGAGAGGAGGTGTGCCTAAGTAATGCGCATATATTCAGGGCTTGCGATCGGGGTGAGGGTGTGGAGGAGGGAGGGAAACCACCCAGGGGCTGGTGAGCATCGTCTTTCTCCCCTAAAAGATGCCTACCCTCAAACAATAGCTGGCCCTTTTGATCTTTCCAGACCCGCGATGGGAAAGGTGAGAAGTGCAGTGCGCATGTCCGGGTAGCTACAGGTGCATCACCTGCGCTGTCCTTGCTGGTGGTCACTATAAGAGCGGCTCCCACGCGCGGGTCGCGGCCGGGAGAGAGCGCGCGCGCGCGCAGACGCACGGCGCCGCCGAGAGGGAGAGCGCGCGTCAGATAGACGGAGACAGCTGATGCCTGTCAGCGCGGCGGGCCCGCGAGCTCTCGCGAGAGCTCCCCGGACCGGCCGCGAGAATTGGGGCTCAGGTGTAAGAGGAGTGCATCCCGTCGGCGCACGGGGCTAGAGCTCTCGGAGAAGTGGGATCGCGAGGCCGGTGCGCGGCGGTCTGCGCGGTCAAAGCAGCGCCGGGCGGCAGCGGCGGCAGCAGAAGCAGCAGCGGCCCCCGGCGCGTCCGCCGCCTCCGCGCCGACAGCCGCCGCGGCTGCAGCCTCCGAAGGGAGGCCGGGGGAGCCGGCGTGCGCACTTTCCCGCGGACTTTCGGAGTGTTTGTGGATTTACTTGCCAAGCCATCAAGATGATGTCCATGAACAGCAAGCAGCCTCACTTTGCCATGCATCCCACCCTCCCTGAGCACAAGTACCCGTCACTGCACTCCAGCTCCGAGGCCATCCGGCGGGCCTGCCTGCCCACGCCGCCGGTAAGCGCCCCATGCAAGCGGACCCGGCCCGCGGGCCCGCCCCCTCCCCGTCTCCGAGACGCTGCATGTCGGGTGCTGATGTATGTACAGGTCCCGGTGCGGGGATTTGCGGGCAGGGAGTTTTAGAAGGCAGGCTTCGTACAGTGGAGCTTAGTGTCGTGTTCCCGTCGCCTCTGCCTCCGTGTCGGGTGCCGGCGATCGGAGTGGGGAGCACTGGGGCCATGAGTCTCGACTTCCCTCCACTCTTTCCTGTTAATTTCATGCCTTGGAAAGGCGTTTTCTGTGCGTGTTCGGGTGCGTGACACGGGTCCCCAGCTGCGAGTTACATCTGCACTTCTTCTTTCCCCCTCCTTTTCCGTCTCCCACGCCCGTCCCCGGAATGTGTTCCTGTGTCCCCCTCTCCTCCGCATCTGCCCCTCTCCTCACACTCCCGTCCCTTCTCATCTGACCCCCTGTCTCGTCCCCAATGTGTCCCTATTCTGTCTTTCCCGGTCTCCACTATCCCCACCCTCGTTATTATTTTGCTTGCTTTGTGTTGGCCTTTTGCTTGTACTTTCCGGCTTGTGTGTGGTTGTTCTGTGTTTTTGCTTTTTTTGGTTTTGTGGTTTTTTTTTTTTTTTGGTTTGGTTTGTGTCGCCTGCAGCTACAGAGCAACCTCTTCGCCAGCCTAGACGAAACGCTGCTGGCGCGGGCCGAGGCGCTGGCGGCGGTGGACATCGCCGTGTCCCAGGGCAAGAGCCACCCGTTCAAGCCGGACGCCACGTACCACACGATGAACAGCGTGCCATGCACGTCCACGTCCACCGTGCCGCTGGCGCACCACCACCACCACCACCATCACCACCAGGCGCTCGAGCCCGGTGACCTGCTGGACCACATCTCGTCGCCCTCGCTCGCGCTCATGGCCGGTGCGGGCGGCGCGGGCGCGGCGGGCGGCGGCGGCGGCG